AATATTTCGTTTTGACGCGGTCGATGAGGCCGACGGAGCAGGATCGAGGAGCTTTATTAACCATGTTAAATAATGAAACCTTAATCGCTTTGATCAGTCCGAGCAAACAACGGCGAAAGGAATCGAAATGCTTCTTGTCGAGTCGCCATATGCACGTCGAGTCCTTGCTCGTTTTAATAATTCGCCTTCCAAGAGCAAGCGGAATGCATTTATGTTAAACGACTTCCTCGCGATCGCTTTCACCGGCGGAATCCACTGACGAATGGACCGAGGCCATCATGCATAGAAAAGAGGATAAAGGGAAGCCGCTGTATTTTTTTTTGTTCATCCCATGCCAGATTTTCCGGGATTTTAATGAAACACCTTAACAAGTGGCTAGGATTTAGATCACATAACAACAAAGTAAATAATTTCAGTTGATACTTGGTAATGAATGAGAACGTTCCTTGACAACGCAGGTGAAAACGACGGTGGCAGTTCTCACCCTCATGGCCCCTCACGGCACGACAATGGCGCAAGGAACGATTTTCAATAATGTCCTCATTCGCATGCGGAAGACAGAGGCGCGACAAACTCAAGGAATTACAGATCCTAAAACCAAACGGCCTTCGAATGTTCCACTTTTCTCGCTTCACTCGACCACTTCGAGTAAAAAAAAAAATCCTGGTCGCCAAGAAAATAACGCCATACCGCGATGTCAGTCCGACGACTCGAATTCCGCCTCGCCGGTCATGACTTCAGCTGATGATGTCAGCAGTCGGCCTCACCAAGATGAACGATACGCCGCATTCCTCACCGCCTGAGAACAATACACATTTTTTCCCACGAGTAAAAATAACGAAGGGCAAACCAAAAAAAAAGAAAAATCGCGAAACTCCCCGCGATGGCAGGCCAATGAATGCCATCGCCGAGCGGAAACGAACCGGACCCACCCATGATATACCAGTTTAACCGGATGTGACGTCATCATGTTTTAAATTGCGCAATTCCACTATATTCTTAACTAATATCTAAATAAAAAGTAGTTCTTGTTCGGTTTTTCCGCAAAGACCTTCGATTCCGCGACTATCGCTGCGATTCACGAAAACAAATTCGTCGCCAACTCCGCCTCGCTCCGAAAACTGACACGGTCGACGGGTTAAGGGTTAAGGGTTTCGTATGCGTCGTTCATCGTTTGATTTCGCCTGAAAATGACAGGGATTCCCTCGGATCGGAGAGGGCAACTGAAACGGTCAAGCTGGTGCGACAGCAATGTTGCCTTTTACCCGAATAGCCTCAACCATTTTCGTTTCGTCCAAATTAATTCAGGAGAGCAATGCAGTTATAATGAGGCACATAGATAAGCTCTAATTTTGTGGAAAAAAAATTAGAGGCGTTGGTCTATCTTAAAATAGTGTTTGACCTTGACCTTGACCCAGATTGTGAAAGGTAATTGGTTCTTAGGACACCCTATTAACCTGGCTGGAACCACGTACTTCCCTAGTCCCATGATGTGTTTTTCAACGATACCTCTTCAGAGCTGGAAGGAAACGTGACCTATCTGAAAAATAGGGCATTTTTTTTAACTTTTAATTGAATTCGATAATTTTTCTATTAAAAAAATCTAAAAGAGGAATTAGTCTACCTACCTATGCATAACAATCTTCCTCCCATTTGAAATCGGCCCTGTGAACGTGCGGAGCTGGAGGAATTAAATTCAGCCGATGGAAGCTTGCGGATTTTCAAGCCTTTTGATTCGAAAGAGTTTGAGGAGATTCTCGCCGGGCGAGAGGAGAAAGTGGGAGGATGTCTCCTCGGCCTCCCGCTGAGCGATGAGGAATCAGAGTCTTTTTTTTGCAGATTCCCGTCTCGCGCGAGCTGGTTTCCACGAAGGTGGTGACAATTTCCGGGCGACAAGAGAGATTGTGCGGAATCCATCCGTCCATCCATCCACCTTCTATCTATTTATTCCATCTATCCATGTAATCTTTTATTCTATCTATTGATAAACTATATTCGAATTCTCTAAGGAGATTCATGGTAAGTGTAGTCTCTAACCTATAAAGCTTCTGCCCCTCAAGGACATAGGCTTGGTAGGACCTAAGCCTACATGCCTTCGCTTCACTGGCTTGGTATCCAATGGGCCTACGAGCCTTTTATGTTCCTTGTCATAGGCTAGGCGCGTTTCGTGATTCGTCCATGCAAGTGATTCAGTCTCCAATCCTGTGCCTTCACAGAACCTACAGGTAAGCTGGGTGGGATGTGTTAATCAGCTAATATGTGGTGTGATGCGCCCGCGTAAGAATAGCGGCGAGACTGTTTAGGTCTGCATTAACCCATGAGCAAATTGAAGATATCAATGCGGAGAGGTAAGGCGCATTAATTGCAGAGCAACGTAAGGCTGTTAACGCCGCGCGAAGAGCAGCGCGTGTACGCGGCGAACCCATAACCATACTCGAGTTACGTTGGCTAGGACGATAAACGTCATTCCAACCGTTACGCATGATCGCGACCCTATGCTCTGTTGGGCACTGCCTGGCCTTTCATTTCGAAGCGGAAAAAGGTAAACTAAGGCAAGGTTGTTTTTATAATCATGTTACAGTGTTCCATTCGAACCCATTGGAGTTTCCGCCGATGGAGAATATGAAAACGCACGCAATTTTTGTGAGTTTAATAGAAAGTACAACAGCACAAACGCGTCTGCTTCCTTTCAGTGCAAAAATTGTTGATATTACCGATAATGGTCCTCACTGCTTCTTAACATCTGTTGAGGTCTACAGGGCAATCCATATGAGCTCATCGTGGGTTTACCAGGCGATTATATTGCAGGTAATATGGTTAACGTGCAGTTTGGGCAACGAAATAGGGTCTGAGATGCCAAAGTGAGAAGCAAACCCGTTCATTCAATTTCTTAAGAATGAGCACTCCAGTTAGGTCAATGAGGACGTGTCGTCACGTTTGGAAGGTGAAATGTCGACACATGACAGTATCGACATTGTGAAGAACGAACACGGTGGTGATGACGCCGATCGGCAGGCCACCTTTCCGTTTGAATTCTTCAGCAATCTCAATACTCTGGGTCTCTTTCCGCACGCCCAAAACTTAAAAATTGGAGCTATCCTGGTGGGTGTATGCAATCTTACAATTGGGAACGACCTTACCAATGACACTCCAGTGATCGTGAGAAGCCTGAACGCAAAAGTCTTAAGACATTGCGTACCGGACATTTTACCCCGTCGTTACGCCGCTCTGACCTAAGCCACAGTTACCTTAGCCTGAAGCTCAATGCCCAAAGGGCTATGACATTTTCGACCATAGGATAGGCAAAATGACTCACGTAAGGACTCAAAAACGGAGGTATCCGTGAGCGGTACGCAACGAAAGTCGTTTAGATGATCACGGGTCAGCTTTGTGGCTGCGTTCATTAGCTGTCTAGAGTTTCACCGGATGCGTCAACCGAAGTCAGCATCCAGTTCCATCTCTCCCAACGTAAATTCCCTACCGAGCGTGCCTGTGGTACGGCTATAATCAAGTCTCAGGGAGAGATATTTGATCGAGTCGGACTTGCGGAGCCGGTATCCTTGCATGGCATTTGTACATTGCCAGCTCGTGAGTTCGCTCTGAGTATTCGCTGAATATTCAGGTTATCGATGGACCATAGCAGGGCGAAACAGATGCTGGCACCATTACCGACGATGTGGTCTTTGAAGAAGCACTTCTTTGTTTGTCAAATCCGTTCGTTGGGATTATTTTTGTTCGTTATGATATTAACTGTTCGTTTCGTTCCCACATTTGTCCCGTTTCTCGGTCTTTACTGGTTCCTTCTATATTTATTTACTTTACTCATGTTGAACTAATTTTGCGCATATTTTGCAAATATTGCCAGTTGTAGCACGCTGTGTCTCAGCCTATCTTTGATGCATATAAGTTGCATCGTGAACTGTAGATCAATTTTTGGCAGCGGGAACCTGGTTTAGACTGTTCTTAGACCTTTCTCTCACTGCTCATCAACCATGTACGGTAGAAGGCCGCAAAAGCGGCCTTAGGCCGGTAGATTTTTAGAATCTAGGATTTTAGCAATGGGAAATTGGCAAACAATGGGGTGGAAAGAGCAAGCAAAAAAGAAAAATCGAAAGGGTTATTGTCGTAGACACATAAGAGGTGGCCGGGCCACTCCCCTCTCTCTCGTTCCACGCCTAGGTGCTCATCATGTCCCCTCAATGATGGCCTCATGGTCCCTTGTGGGCCTGCCCACCCGAGGGCACCCTGGGAGTGCGCTTCAATGAAGGGGGGGGGGGGGGACATCCGACCTTACCCCTTTCCTCAACCAGCAACAATCTCAAGTGAAATTCAGAGCTCGACCTCAGTTCTGATGAACCTCACGACTAGGGAATGGTACCAATACCGAAAACAGACTCAACCTAAGCCCTGCAAGTACGGTGGGGAGGTGGAGTAACAGGAATCTTCCCGAACTCCTTGAATCCTTGGAAGTCCTTGTTGATTTCGACCCCCGAAACCAGTGAAATGACAATAGTTTTTTCTCTCCGACCTGGACACTTTTGAGCCCGTCAGTATCGCAGCTTTTATGCTTGACGACCAAATCGCGTCATTTTGGACGTAGAGCTTTCGCAACGACTGGTGCGGATTTCGTTCGAGTCGACTTCTGATTATGGATTTCAGCCACCTCGTGTCTACAGTTTGCAGACGACCCAATACTGGACAGTCAGAAGAATCATCAGGCTCTTCAAACGGGGAAATTGTGCGTGCACCGGTGGATCGGTGAATTTTTAGGCGTTTTGCAACCGTTGCGCATCGCATTTCGAAGTGAAAAAGCCTAAAAATCTCTTCATGCTTGGAATTCACCAAAAAGCAAACGAATTTAAGAAATGCAGTAGGGGGCTAACAGACAGATAAATAATGAAAAAAAATCGAGGTGATATAAAAAAAAATAATTTATTTGATTTTTCAAATTTGTTTCTTTTCTTTTGGGTCACCCTGTATTCCAACTTCTGAAAAAAAAATCAATCATTGTTGACGAATATCCAGTTTTCCAATCCGGTCTGAGACACTTGGAAGTCAATGTGTTGCGGTTTCTCCGAGACAATCTTGGGAGCGACGACGAGACCCCCGGCGAAGTAGGCCGAGAAATAGCTGAAAGTCCCGACGGAGACGATGCTGTGGTCGCAATTGGAGAGAAGGGCGAAGTCGAAGTCCCTCCCCCTCCCCTCCACGAACACCACGGGCATGCTTTCGTCCACGCTTCGGATGTTTTCCTTGCACCAGTCCATTTCGTCGCTGGTGAGGACGAAGACGACGTTGGGGAAGAGCAGGCCGAAGTGCTCCATGGCTCGCCTGTAATACGCAGCCGACACGGGTTCGGCGCAGAACCAGTGCCGATTGTGGTCGATCTGATCCGTGCGGCGAACGTGAATCCCGATGAATATCGAGTTTCTTCCGTATTTGGCAGACAGGGATGAAAAGAAGGATCGCACTTCGTGCATCAGCTCCGCGTCGAACTTAAATTCAGGCATCCAGTCCCTCCTGAATTCATGATATAATTTACCATCGAAAGGATAACGGGTGAGAAACACGTCCTTCTCCTTCACGAACTCCGTATCGTTCCACGGCGTCTGAATCAGTCCGTACGGATCGCTGACGGCCGCCTCGGTCCAGTTCCTCGGGTGGCACCCGGTCTCATTCTCCCGACGCAGGGTCAAATGGGGGAATAGTGGAAGGAGATCCTCCAGCAGGGTGCCACTCAGCACGGGGATCTTCCCGTGCTTCCTCCCGTAGGAGAAGACGGTGATGTACTCCGCGATCGTGTTGCCGAGGCGGCCGCGGTTCTTCGAGGTGACGAACGTCGCGTTCTCGCACTGTTCGGGGGTCAGGGGGAACTCCGGCCAAAACTGCGGTATCGTCTCGACCGAATCCACCGAGGACTTGGTCCTCCGAACCTGCCGCAGCAGTCGCAACCCCCTTATATCTTCGTTCCCGTACCGGAAACGCTGCAGAAGCCATCTCGGGCATTCATACATCGACGGGAAGAACCACAGGAGTGCCACGATGTTCAACAGAGCCAACGGAACGCTCAAGTAGAAGAGTCTGGATCCCAGCGACTTCCTGGAAATGAGGGAAATCCATGATTGTAGATCTCTGCTTCGACTTCTTTAACAATGATATTTTTTTCTCTTCATTAAACATGTCGTGATGGATCAGAGCCTCGATAGCCGAAGTTGTTCCGATGAATACAATATGGACATTTTCAAGTTTTTTTCCAAAATTTCATGTTCGACTCTCAATGACGCAATCGTTTCAACAATGGATTCCATTGGAGTTAGTACAAAATGCACGTCATATCCACCTCGAAAATCATATTTTCAAGAAAATGAATTATATTCTGGAAACGAAATCGTTCATGAAAACCGAATTGCTCGAGATGACAAACAGTGAAGCCCACTCCACGATAAATACATGGTCACAAAGACTCTTTAATATGCAATAAATTACTTTTTGTGATGACAATTTATGAGGGTATATCAAATGACGTGTCAAAACAGCGTTATCAGACAGTTGATCAACTCAACTCAGCAGTCTCTGCAGTAATTTTTTTAAAATAACGACAAATTCAAAAGATGGCTAAATGAACATGGGGCAGCCTTGAGTTCTGCTGTGACAATGATATTTAGAATGATACTGATATTAATGTGACAGTGATATTTATTCAATATTTAGAATGATATTTAGCACACTGCTATTTAGAATCTCTAAATGCATTTGATTAATTTTGATTTTCCTACGAGCTGAAGGCGAACATTCGGAGCGAGAATGTCAAAATTAGTGCAAGGGCGTTCAAAATGTTTCCGGCCCGAGGCACTTCCCGAAGTAATGTAATAAAGTAATAACAGTGCAATAAAGTAATTCGCATTCTGTTCAACGGAAGAAATATTCCCCAGCAGATATCCAAGCAGCCGTGATGATACGTTATTGCTGACTCCTCTCTGCCAGATCAGCTGGGAGAAATGATTCCTTCAAGACAATTCATTGCAGCATGCGCTTCAGTTTTTATACCCGGTTAGCAGACCTCTTCGTGGCTTACTTAAAAAGGCATTCACGGATGCTTTATAGGATCGGCAAATGAGTTTAAAGGTTTCCATTCAGCATCAAATGCATCTGTATTTCTTTATTAAAAAAAAATTAGGATTATGTATTACAACTGGACGTACCACGGGCCAGAAACTTTCTAAACGCCCCTCGTACCAACAATATTTAGAGGGGTTTAAGAGAGAATCGATGCAAATTTCAGGGCAACTTCATGGCATACAATTTGATTTTTAAAATGAAACAAAAGTAATTTGTGAAATATATGTCTGTGACCGGAATTTAAAGACACCCTGTGTATTTTATATGATACCGGTGACTGTGCGGTTACAGCTAATAGGTTTTGCTTTCTCTATAGCTTTCAGCACAAGGGTGACGATGATGTCTTGAAAATTGCTGTTGATAGCTGATTTCCGTCGGCCTTAATGAATGGAAAGCGTATGCCGGGAATCGAACAAGAGAGGCTGAATACCAATTCCGGAGATGCGATCGAAAGTTGCGAGGAAAGTAGCGATAACAGTACTAAGGATGGGAATGTGCGGATGAAATGCAGTGAGGTCTGCGAGGTTGGCCTTTGCACTTGGAACCGTTACTTGTCAGCTGACCGTGTAAACAATTATTAAGAAATTATCTAATTTGTTTTAGTTTCCATAATTAATACGTGGGATTTCCGAATGCAAAAATCGTTCTGGGGGCCAAAGGAAGAACACGAAATGCCTGCCGGAAGTCAGCTTTCTATATCCTGAAACATCATTTTCCCCCCATTTTTCTTTCATTCGAATTTGACCCATATTAAGCTCACGTACGCTTGATTTTCAGAGGAGCGAAGCTCATTGGCTGCCGCAAAATCACATGGACTGAAATTCGGGCGCATTTTGAGGGAGCAGGCGAACCCCCGTGCAACTTCCGCCAACGACTCCCAACGCAGAAGTTCCGGAAATGGACCACGAGGAACCCACGGTCGACGAGTTCCAACGCAATTCCATTTCACTCGGGTTTCCCTTCCCACATCCACTTCCCCCGTTGGCGCGATCCATGCGAGGGAGACCCGAGCTAATCGCGTGCTCTGCCTGGCGGGAAGAATCGATGGAACGTCTGATAGCCTCCGGGAACGGCCTTCATGCCAGTCAGACGGGGAATCCCCCATTAAAAAAAATGTTATGGACGTTGCAGATTTCTCGACACAATGGACTTCCTCAGAGCTCATCCAGAAAGATGCTGGCCAACGGTAACGGTACTTTCCGAGAAGTACGCGGGTGATGTGTTTTGAATGATGTGCAAAGCGGGGTGCGAAGAGATCGGTAACGACATCTTCACTTTTTTTTTTTACATTTTTACATTGGCTATCGACCGGAAAAATCGTGTTGTCCTTCAAGGTATCCCAATGCTTCGACGTCGGCGATATTAAGTCGGTATGAAAAGGTTAAGTAGCGGTGTGACACATCTCGCACCTTCACGGAGAGGTGACCAACATTGTGTAGCGTCCGGTCACGGTCGTCGCACGCAATTTAATAATTTAATTTTGAATACGGTTATCATCACGAAGGGGAAGCCAAAATGGAAACACTCCGGGTAGAACTCCCCTCGCATTATACTTGACCCATTCGCATCCAGGAACTATTGGTGCCATGCGGCCTAGAATTCCTTCACGAAACCAATGCATGTCGAGGCTGAGGGGAGGGGGAGGGGGGGGGGAATCAGGCAGGACATCGGGCATCCCTGCTTTCAGATTTTCAAATGCGACGCCGAGAAGACGCGATGCGGTCTCCCAAACGATCGGGCCGAGAAGCTATTAATCACTATGATTAATGAAACAGCTAAGGTCACTCCGACCTGCCGATTCTGGGGGGAATCGAAACGCGGCTCTCCCGAGTCTGCACGAGTCGGTCCTCGTTCGAATAATTCCCCTTCTAAGAACAGACGGAATGCATGATTTTTTAACGATTTCCTCGTGATCGCTTCCGCCGGCGGAATCCGATGAGGAATCGACCGAGGCCATCGTGCATCGAAGAGGATCATTTTTTCGGCCTCAATGAAACGCCTACGTGGCTAGAATTTAGATCATACAATAGGAAAGTAAACAATATCAGTTTATACTTGGTAATGTTGAGAACGTTCCTTGACAACGCAGGTAATGCCGACGGTGGCATTACCCACCCGGCCCTTACGGCCTCTCACGGCCCCTCACGGCCCTCACGGCCCTCACGGCCTCTCACGGCTCCACAATGGCATGGAACGATTTCCAATAATGGCCTCATTTGCATGCGGAAGTTCCGCGCAAAAATCGATCTTGAAGTCGGAGATGAGACAAATTCTAGGAACTACAGAACAAACTTGAAAATAATGGCAATCAAAATTTAAACTTTTCTCGCTTCTCTCGACCACTTCCAGAGGGAAAAAAAAAAATTTCCGGAGAAAAAAATTCCGGAAATAACGCCATACACATCGGGCGTCGTCGGTCCGGCGACTCGAATTCCTCCTCGCCGGTCACGACGTCAGCTGATGACGATGTCACCAGTCGACCGTCACCGAGATGAACGACACGCAGCATCCCTCACCGCGAGAAAACAATACCGAGCATAAATAACGAAGGGCAAACAAAAAAAGAGACAAATCGCGAAACTCTCCGCGGTAACGAATGCCCTAGCGGAAACGAACCGGACCCGCCCAGGAGATGACAGCTTAACACGGTGTGACGTCATCGCTTTTCAAATTCCGCAATTCCACCATGCATTTAGGTATACGTTCAAAATAAAGTTTTCCGCGCGAAGCTCTTCGAATCCGCGACTGTCGCTGCGATCCGCGGAAAGAAGGAAACTCCGCCGAAAAACCGACCCGGTCGACGATCAACCTAACCCGCCTAACCTAACCTAGATAACCTTAGCCTAACCCGACGGTTAAGGGCAAACGGCGAAGCCGGTGCGACGGCGATGTTGTCTCCGCCTTTTACGCGAATTGCCTCCAAGTTTTTCGCTTCGTCCAAATTAATTTCAGGGGAGCAATGCAATTAGAAAAAAAATCAGAGGATTGAGTCTGTCTAATGCGAGTGCTTGACCTTGACCCAGATTCTCGAAGGTCAATGGTTCTTAGGACACTATTGACCTTTAATTAGTTTTTAAAGATTTTTTCAGTTAAAAATATCAAATTCGATCGGTCTACCTATCCATTAAAGTGTTCCCTCCCTTTCAAGCTCGTCCCTGTGCAGAGTTCGAGGAATTAAATCCGCAGACGGAATTTTGCGGATTTGGAGTCGAAAATATTTTAGAGGAGATTCTCGCCTGGGCGAGAGGAGAAAGCGGGAGGATGTCTCCTCGGCCTCCCGCTGAGCGATGGGGAATCAGAGTCTTCTTGTGCGGATTCCCGTCTCGCGCGAGCTGGTTTCCATAAAAGGGTGGTTACGATTTTCGGCTGTCGGAGGGATTGTGCCCATTTTTTTTGTTGAGGGGGGGGGGAATTTCCGATTGAAGCAATGGGGAATTAGGCAAAGGGTGGAGAAAGCAAGCGGAAAAAAAAAAAACCGAAAGGGTTGTAGTCGTTGACACGTGGGAGACGGCCGGGCCGCTCCCCTCTCACTCGTTCCACGCCTAGGTGCGTATGCTCAATCAAAACGTTACACGCCGTTCTCTCCGGCATTGTCATTGAGTATCGCTTCGCGGGAATCGGGGGGGGGGGGGCGAGGTGAGGACAATCGAGTCCTCGAAATGTCACCTCAGCTGGAACGGGCTTTTAACTCTTTCATTCTACACGTGGGCGTGCTCACGTCCTTCGTGGATATCCCCATCCACAGGTCCCGCAGCATTAAGTAAACACGTTTTCGGAACGGGGATACCTGTTCAGATTCCATTGAAGGCAATGATGGGCAAAATGTCGCCTGCTTCATTTGATAAACTTTCCTGTCTTGCACGGGAACTGCTCTGCTGGTAAATTAGTGATGGTATGAGGACCGACCTGTATCTTCCTGGTACATAATTAGCATTATAGGGAAATCGAGATGCACAAGAAGGGAATTAATAACCGAGTTACGTGCACTCTACCTCGGGCTGGAGTGACCGGAAGGAGCGATCGCTTGGAAAGCCTCCCCCATGCACGACACCGGGTTGCCTCACCGAATCGACTGACCGCCGTGGATGGGGAGGACTGTGAGGGGGATGCGGGAGTGCGTGAGGAGGACGTGCGAGTGCGTGCGCGAGGCTGTGTGCGTGATGATCGAGATAGCAGGGTTCTGGCCGGCTAGAACTCACGCCGCAAACGCGCGCT